GATCGAGCCCAGGACTTCAGCCTAGTTCGGCAAGGGTGGAAACTGGACTTTTAAAGTCAGTTCACTCTCTTGCCTCGGGAAGATGGTCAAGGCGGACAGTCAGTATGCAACTTGGAGGTTCTGCCAGCTGATCAGGTGAGCTTCATTCAGTCCTGTGCACCATACGGGACTGGTCAAAAATTAAACCCACCTTCTTTTCTCTATGTCTTTTTTTAAAGGATTTGTGTGCACTTAAGACCTTCTTTAGAAAACCTTTAAGCTACAGAAGGTCTTAAGTCAATGATTTATGATATTTATAATGCCAAATGTGCTCTCTCTATTCAACCCAATCAAACATCAAACTATTAATAATGTCTATGTGGTATATCTTCATCCCAATCAAACATCACTACCATTGATAATGCCTACGAAGGTCTATCTTCAGGTCAATAAAACGTCACTACTATTTATAATGCCTATGGAGTTTATCTCCAGCCCAATAATAAATCACTATTCATACTACCTATGGGATATCTCTTCAGCCCCAAAAATACATCACTGATATTAATAATGCCTATGGTATCTATCTTCAGCCCTATAAAACATCACTAGGTGAAAGGTGCTTCAAACATACAAGCACCTCAGCAACAGTGAGTTGGTGAGTGAGTTTCATTTTACGCCGCTTTTAGCAATGGGCTTTACACATTGTACCCATATCGGGAATCGAACCCGGGTCTTTAACAACTAGGCTACCCGACCGCCCTCACCCCAGCAACAGTGTTGTTATAACGTACTGGTGTGATCATTGCAAAAAAATAAAGGAAAATTTACTTTAATATATTTTAATATATTTTTAATATATTCAGCACGGGTTTCCAGTATTTATTTTCTAGGACCAAATGAGAAAGAGAAAGGTGACAACAAAAGATATTAAAATGTCCTACTATAACATTCTTGCCTAAAAATACACAATCTTTCAACAACATTTTAAATATACATTTCGTTTTGTTAAGTTCATAAGGATTCGTTGAAATGATCGTTGGCTTATTTAACAAAGAAGTTAAAGGCTGTTGAGGTTATACTGATTGTACCGCAAACAATGCAGTACCAGCATACGCTGTATGCTGTCACTACCCGTCAGAAGTCCGATGCACTTCCTTGTTCAGGCGAGAAGCAGTGCGTACGAAACAAGTGTCACGTGGTCACATAAGCTGCGTCCACTCATTATTTAAGTACACTTAAGACCACTGTAGGTGTAGGGGCTCTACAGACGTGAGCCGCATGCAACCCAAAACCACTATTCCCGCCGTCATATGGCTGGAATATTGCTGAGTTCGGCGTTAAACAACAAACATACAAACACAACTATTCAGTTCTATAATTTACGACATACGATGTGTCTACGTCAGTAAAGACCTGTATCCCAGCAACAATTTGCATGGTTACCATGGAAATTAAGCCGCGTATCACAACAAACAATATGTTGAAAGGTTTATGGCACAGTGTGAATAGGGCATAGTACAGTTGATAAGAAGGTACGTTTTGTCAGTTCGTGGCTTTGGTGCACCCTTTAGTTACAATAGGAAGCGATTCTTGGCTTTGAGGCACCCGTTGGAATGAATGCTGATCTATTCCGACCTAACTAAAGGTTTTTTTTGTTTGTCGGTTGGTGGTCTATAAATAATAGTCTGGACCAGACAATCCAGTGATTGACACCGCCTTGTGACGTACCTCACTTAAATAAAGGGTCTCAACACGTCGCCTTGTGGCCTACCCTACTTAAATAGAGGGTCTCAATATAACGCCTTATCATCTTAGGAGGTTGGCAGAAATAAATTATGGTAATGTTTCAATAACATCGTCTTTGCAGAGAAGTTAAAGTGATGTATACCAGAATGTATAGGTTTGTGTACGAAATAACGATATTGTACCTGACACCTTTGAAAGAAATATTGGCGTTAAACATGGGTCGTTTTAAGTCCATTTTGTTCTTCTTTATCCATGAATTAGTTCAATAAATTAAACAAACCTGTTCTGATGGAATCCAGTTTCACCCGGAAGCTCTACAGTAATTTCTTCTTTTGTTTGCCAATGATAAAGTAATGTGTTCCGAGCACAATACCTGGACTACAAAATAATCAGTTGGAATGTTATTGTAATCAATGGAATTTATCTGTCAACGTGGTGGTACACTAGCTAAAAGAAGGAATGGTTTTATCAAGGGTATTTATTAAATGCAATATGCATGCTGAAGAAGCTGCTCTAAAAGCTAAGAATATCCTCTAGATATAATCAATCCTCGGAAATATATCCTATAATACATTCTTTGAGATTTTCGATAAAAAAGGAGTCCAACTTTGTTTAATGGCGCGGAGGTTCGGGATATTTCTATTTTAATAGTTTCGGAGAATGTGGACGATACCTATTACATATATTTGCACAAGCGAACACGATAAAATACTGGAGTAATTAGTTTGAATGCCTGTACCAAGATATCAATTTATTTTATAATATGCTATTACTTTATGATCCACAAGGACAGACAAACTGGGCATTTTCTGTTCTTCATGGACAGAACAGGACACGGATATACCAGATCATTTCATAGATGCTTTTACTCACATCTTGTAAGATATGTATATTCAAAATTGACATTATTTTCTATTATTATTTAATGAACTATCACGTTTTTCCCTCTTTACAACCAGTTTCTGTAGAGTGCAATACTTATTCAATGTAACAGTAAAAACATTAAGAATAGCACTTGTAAGATTTAGATATAGCTCACACGAACTCCTCATCGATACAGAGGGATATTAAGAGAAAACAGGAGTGGCCGAGTTCTCGTAGGCTGCAATTGGACAACGCGAAACATGGTTTTCCTCGGTCCTCCGAATGGAATGAGAACAAATACCGGAAGTAAAATTTCCTTCTCCCAAAGTAACATTATGAGAGCCGTCAGGTATAAATTTTTATCGCCCAAAATACACTTTCGAGGTGCAGACGTGTCTCCACTTTAATTAACTTCCTGCATCAGAGATGCTACACATACACATCTACAAGCATATATGGTACAGATTAGGTCTTCAGTAACCCATGTTTGCCGTAAACGGCGACTATGCTTATCGTAAAAGGCAACTATGCTTGTCGTAAAAAGCGACTATGCTTGTCGTAAAAGGCGACTATGCTTGTCGTAAGAGGCGACTAACGGGATCGGGTTGCCAGGCTCGCTGACCTGGTTGATGCATGTCATCGATCCCAATTGCGTGGATCGATGTTCATGACATCAATCACTCGGTTGTCTGGTCCAGACTCCATTATTTACAGACCGCCGTCATATAGCTGGAATATTGGAGAGTGTGGCGTTAAACAATATAAAAAAAAACAAGATCATAAGAAATTTAAATCTCCATTTAATTGGAAGATCATAAGAAATGTCCATTGTACGATTCAAACTATATCATAAGCATGTGCTCGAGCTAATGTGGGCCTATGGTGCCCCGACGGTGACACCCGTCACAAACACAGGCAAATAATTATAGATTAAGTGGTATCTTTTTTTATAAATTATTGCTGAAACACAAAAATATCCATAAGATTCCTTATGTTCCAGGTTGTGCACAACTGCGGCCATGGGTCGTACGGTATCAGCATGAGTTGGGGAACCGCCGTCCATGTAGTGGAAATGGTGAAGGACATGGTTTAAACTACATCGTGACTCTAAATTAACTCCCTTGGTTCACGACCACTGACCAGCATTGACATTCTATCAACCATACAGTAAACTACGGTTATAACGAACACGCTTATAACGAACTAACGGATATAACGAACTAACTTTTTAGTCCCGACTATATGCTGTAGTTATGCTGTATATATGCTTTTTACGCATTACGGTTATAACGAACTAAAATTAGTAGTCCCTTTGAGTTCGTTATAACCGTAGTCTACTGTACTTGCAGCGCAACATTTGTCTAAGTAAATCAAATATAACTGTTTTTCAGAAATGGGGGAAACATCATTAAAATGGATACAATGTGATACTACAGTATTGTTTTACATATAACCGATAATTGAGTACAGTGTCAACGATTGTGTAGATAGATGCTCATGATGTCAATCACTGGATTTTCTGATCGAGACTCGAATATTTACAAACCCCCATCATATAACTGGAATACTGGTTAATGTCGGCGTAAAACATCAAGCAAGGAGACCTCACATTTATAATGACGTTGTTGGCATTCTTGACGTCATATTGACCCTGTAACCTATGGACACCGGTTTCAATTAAGACAGCGCCATCTATTTACTACAGTTACTTATAAAATGTGAACAACATAAATTATTACATAAATGTGAGAGTGTTACTGAACTCAGGTAATAGAAAAATAGGATTTGTTTCATGAAATAACTATCTTGTGATATTTTATGTGTAAAAGGTGGGCTACAGTCCCCCTTGACGTACTGACGTACACAAAACAGAATAGCGAGCAGAGGCGACACTCCGTTATTCTAATCGATAACATATACACCTGACTATATGCACCCAACATACATTTCATTAAAACAAAGCTGCTGGAAAACCGTATGAATAATGGATACATGTGTCTTCATAAATAAGGCTATGCATACATGTAGGGCTTACGGCAGTCACGTTGTTAGAGATCAGTGGATATAAGAACTAGCGGAACTCTCGGTCGTTACTGTTGAACTCTCAACACTCGTCTTTTTGACGTCCATCAGAAGTAAGTTTCATTACACTTGCGTTAAAAATTTACGTGTAGTTACATTCTTTAGCCTATTTTCGAATAATGTTGTTATTGCGAGTAGATAGATAAAGACCTCTACAATACCGGCCACAGCCGGAGCCTTAATGGTTGCTGAATAACTCATTAGTATGCAAATATATCCATGATGTCATAGGTCAGTGAGGGTAAGGAAAGGTCAATGGTCAAAATGTAATGAGGCATATAATAAGACGATCAGTGATTAACACGTTATTGGACGAAACAAGGAAAGATGGCTACGGTCACCACGGTCCTTTGAAATTGAAAGGACTTTAATTTGCCTCGATTTGCCAATGAACGATTGTGAACAGGCATGTTGGCGCGACGTGACGAAGGCTATAGAAACTGTAGGTACACCCTGTTTCGTCAGTCACAACCAACATCTACACCTAACTCAACAATGCTAATAGAATGAAATTACCCAAGTAAACAGAACAGCAGTGAATGTATCATTTCATAGTATGTCATTGTTCATTATAATGTATTTACTAAACTACCATTTTAGCCTTGAAAAATTCCTATACAGTTTAGCCTACTCAAAGTTTGCTAAGGATCACCACTTTAAATGGTAAATTGTGTGCATCAGTTGAAATAGCCAATGACAATATTGTGTGATGACATGTTCAATGAACAAAAGTCCGTTGTCATATGTCACACGATGCCAACAGAAACATGTGACCAATAATCACCCGTCAAAATTAGAGTATCTGACGAGAACTGAAACGTAAAAAGATCACGAAAACAAATTCAGTGTCAAAAAACAACAACACACAGTAGCCGCATGTGATCCACGTGATGAGATCACAGTCTGGCACCGTCGTTCTACTCGTATTCTCCCGATAAGTGTCTGGGTGGTTGTCAAGGGAAGATTGTTCCACTCTTCCATAAGAGATATGCCAAATTCCCGTAGAGTTGCTTGAAGGACAGGGCGTCGTGAGAGGGCGATCGGCAACTCGTCCCACATTTGTTCGATTGGGTTGAGGTCTGGTGACCGGCCGACCACTCCATGCGGACAATGGTCTCCTGCTATAAGTGGGCATCAATGACCCAGGCAAGATGAGGTCATGCGTTATTGTCCATGAGGATGAAGTCCGGTCCGATTGCAACAGCATTCGGTTTCACGTACACATCCAGAATGTCATCCTTGAAGCGCACACGTGTCATCGTGCCAGGCAGTAGGACATCTCTACTGCTCCCACCCCTAATCATGATTGAGCTCATTGCATTGCGGTCATGTTCGGTTATGTTAGAATCCTGCAATCTTTCTCCTTGTCTATGCCAAACTCGGTCACGACGATCGAGACAGTATCTCGATTCATCAGAGAAAAACATCTTCACTGGGTGGAAACTGGACTTTTATAGTTAGTTAACTCTCTTGCCCCGGAAAGATGCAGTGAAACGTACTTGAGCCCAGTCCTTGTCTGTCCAATTGACGTGATCTTCAGCCCAATCCAAACGTGATATCGAGCCTGTGAGATGCGAATGCATGCCCTCGGAGACTGCACTGTCTCAGTAGAAAAGTTCACGTCACTGGCGTTCCGAGGGTCATTTCTGAGTGTGGTGGCAGACACGAAGTGGTGACATAGAGTCAGGAAAAAATTATCTTCCCCTGTGTGGTGGGATGCTGTCGACTACTTGAATGTCACTGAGTAGCTGATCCAAACGTCTAGTAACGATGTCATGACTTTTGCAACGTGACGTTGTGCTGACCTAGTTTCAAGAATGTCTTTACATCAAGTTCTTCGGTTGTCTTTGACGCTGAGTGGGCATAAATGCTTTGACATTATTAAACTTATTTCATTTCTGAGACTTCGAAAATTCAAACAAACCCTTTGACTTTTTGCAAGTATGTTCTTTTTACTTGAACACAACACTACCTTCTTTAACTTAAAATACATCACTATTTTCAGACTTTGACAAAACAAGGAATATATTTGAGGAATATATTTGAAAATAAACCAAAACTTAACTCGTCTGTTATGTATTGTGTGAGTCGCGACAGTGGCTTCGAATACCGGTGCAATCCGATAATGTCCCAAGGTTTGTCAACACCATACCCGTCCTCGTAGGTTTCACCAAAGTGATAAACGTCTGAGATTTGCATTACTTGGGGATTTCCTCCCACGTTAAGCGGCGTTAAACCCAATTAACAACAATATGATATCATTTTATAAGTTTGTCTATCTTGTTTGTTTTGGGAAATCATTACTTTTCGTCAGGTGTAACGGAGGCATCGTGACGACCATGGTTGTGTATTCCTATCGCATGGCAAACATGTCTATGTCTAGACCCGAGAGTAGAAATTGTATAAACTGATAAATGATACTGGTATGTTTGTACCTGGGCTGCAAGTGTTATTAAGTCACCCTTGCTTAAAAATACATCCGGCTGAATACATGTCACTGCATAAATTATCTTGAAGTTAAAGTAGGGCATGGGCGCTTACCTTGTTTATCCTCGGTCCTTACGCAACATTTTGGTTGTTTGTTTGTTGTTTAACGCCGCACTGAGCAATATGCCGGCGGTCTGCAAATAATCGAGTCTGGACCAGACAATCCAGTGATTGACATCATGAGCATCGATCCACGCAATTAGGATCGATGACATGCATCAACAAGTCAGCGAGCCTGGCCACCTGATCCCGTTAGTCGCCTCTTACGACAAGCATAGTCGCCTTTTACGACAAGCATGGGCTGCTGAAGACCTTTTCTATCCCGAATCTTCAAGGGTATTACCAACAGTTGGGTTTTCTAGGTCTCTCTGTCGTCGTACACGGTAAATGTAATTTTAGTTTCTTGCTATGCGAGGTTGTCAGACTAACATTTAGTCCCAGAACTAAAGTTATCTTTAAAATATATATATACAAAGTATACCAAATAAAATCCAAATGGTACCCAGAACAATCCCTATGAGGATATATGGACTTGCTAAATCATTCTAGACTTGAGTTAGACTCTTTTTCAATTCAATCCCCAGGGTCTGGGCGACAGACAAGGCGGTCGTTAGTATACCCAACCAGGATTACCCTCGGACGGAATGGCTCGGGTTGCCGTCATTGGTGCAGGAGTGGTTGGTCTCTCTACCGCTATTAACATCCAGGAATGCATGCCGGGAAGTCGCGTGGACATAGTAGCAGACAAATTCAACCAAGACACGACCAGTGTCGGTGCCGCGGCTTGGATAGTTCCCTGGGCTCCGGGGGTCGATGAGGCACTACAGAGGTAAGATAACACAACAGAGAAGTCAGACACACGACAGTCACTTAATTGTCTGACAACACCTAATTTTGTTTCCTACAAGTCTTAAAGCTATCTCGTCAACCTTTTAATAAGCCCCATAAAGAATCGAGAAAATTCGTCATCTTCCTTTTCAACAAACCTTTGTTCTTTGAAAGATATGCACTCTTGCTATACTCTTGAGTGATTGAGTGAAATGACTTTTATTCATAGAAATTGAACTAACTTAGTCAGTGAATTTCACTGTCCACTCAGACACTAACACATCTAGTAGATAGTATATCTTCTTCACGTTTCCTCAGCCATTACAAGGATATCAAGTCTGCTATAGAACAAGAGAAGTATATAAGATGTAAGATGATAAATCACTTGTTAGGGCATTATGTGAATTCAGAGTGTCATTACACAATTTCAAAGTAAATTTTACACGTAAGTAGTTGTGGACAGGACACCAGTACCGCTCCTGGCTTCTGATTAGTCGAGAGGATCACGTGACCTCTGTGACGTCACATCCGGTCACGTGATCTGCGCATGCGCGCGGGGCATGATGGGACATGCGTGCGCATCCAAGATGGCGTCGCATCCGTGTCCGGTGGCGCGCGCATCCAAGATGGCGTCGCATCCGTGTCCGGTGGCGCGCGCCTTCAAGATGGCGTCGCATCCGTGTCCGGTGGCGTGCGCCTTCAAGATGGCGTCGCCTCCGTGTCCGGTGGCGTGCGCCTCCAAGAGGACGTCGCCTCCGTTTCCGGGGAGGAGGGATGGGGAAAAACCCGAAGAAGCGCACGTACAAGGTGAACAAGATCGACAGGGTTGTTGTTGTGGTGTGGTTCTAAAAATAGAAATAGAAAAGGCGGTGGTGGTGGTGGTGGTGAAGGGAAGGGAAGGGGAGGGAGGGGAGGGAGGGAGGGAGGGGAGGAGGAGGAGGAGGAGGAGGGGTGGGTTCACGGTGTGGTTGGGGGGTATGGGTTGGAGGGTCGTCAAAGCAAAGGAGGAAAAGCTGTCTTTCGGGAGAGATGGGTGGCCCTGAAAAGGGCCGTTTTGATGCTCACATGGTTGTGCATCCCACGGTACAAAGGCACGGGTGGACTTTCATCTGTCTCCTCACAGGACACCTACTGGTGTGCGTTAACCGCCGCACGTAGGTGTCCTTGAGGATGGTCTTACAGTACACGCACTCGAAAGTACCATCCCATGCCCTTGTGCCAAGGGCGTACACAGGTAAGCACCCTTGGCATGTACCGCATTGCCATGGAGGTAGCGATGGCAATGGCGGTACTTCTTCTTTCTTTTCCAACTCCGAGCGACACCCTTTGCACAGTGGCAAAGGGTGCACCACTGAGGCGAGCTCCAGATCCCAGTTTTCAGCCATTCTTGATTTTTCGAATCAATTTTACAAGTGACACTGACCCACTCGAATCCACTCTTGTTTTATAGGAGAGGCACTGACACCCTGCCTCCCGGTTGGTTCGCCAGGCCGCAGCTCCGATTGGTTCGTTCCGGGGCCTTGCCCGCACCTCGGTTTTCCAAAACGGACCGACCCCTGTGTTTCTTTTCCATAGGAAATGAATTTTAACATGGGAGAGAAAGCACAACCCCGGTTCGGCCAATCAGAGCCCCGCCTGGTAGAGCGCCGCCTCTGATTGGTCGACAACCCAGGCTTCCGATTGGTCCGATTTCGATGCGGTTTTTTTTTCCTTGGGTAGCCTTGGTATTGTTTTAGGTAGACGGTCGTCTGAATGCTAAAGGAAAGGTGGACCTTCATAGGTAGACGTGAACGTGGGAATGCCTACGCGATGTACGTTGTGTCACCCCCCATGCCAATCGGAGTGTCATGTCATGTGTGTGTGAGTGTGAGTGTGGATGTCTTCAAACAGACGTTGACGTTGATGCATAGAATAGCGTGTTGTCAAGCAAAACGTGGTGTCCTGTATGTGTGTGTGTGTGTGTGTGTGTGTGTGTGTGTGTGTGTGTGTGTGTGTGTGTGTGTGTGTGTGTGTGTGTGTGTGTGTGTGTGTGTGTGTGTGTGACTACAACCATGGATGTCGTATGGAGATGAATAGAGAAAGATCGATACACCTGAGTGACGTTTGCACACGTCATGGACTTCGTGTCGCGATGTGAACGTCCTGTACTTTGTGTGTTGTCATGCAAACGTTGTGTCATGTGTGTGTGTTTTCAAATTATTATTATTAATATTATTATTATTATTATTGAAGGATACCGAGGTGTTGACATCCGTGTAAGTCGACAGACGTACTGTGACACGTGTTTTCATGCACACGTGATGTTTGACGTGGTGTACTACGTGTCTCTATTGATCTATTGATCTATATCTATGGATTGTATTTTTAGACGTGTGCCTCCAAGAGGTCTAGGGGAGGGTGTGGGTTCTTTGTTTTGGATTGTTGTTGTTGTTTGGGTTGGCAAAGCAAAGGAGGAAAGTTGTCTTTTGGGTGAGATGGGTGGCCCTGAAAAGGGCCGTTTTGGGGAAGAAAAACTTTTATGCTGCTGCTGCCCAAGAAGAAGGATCATGTCCAAGCTTCATGACAAGACAAGGATCGTCGAAGCGGTACTTGTAGTCATCTGGGTATGTCATCGGGGTGCCCACCGTGGCACCACTTGTGGGTCCAACAAAGAAAAGCTTGTTGGAAACAGGAAGCGGAAACAGACTGAACCAACCACAACAACAACAGCAGTAGACAAACGGGAACTTGAACGGGAACTTGAACGGGAACGCAGGACACGGGAAACGTCCTCCTAGGCAGCCGGCTGCGCTACGTCATTCGTGTACCTCTGTTTCTGGTGTTTCAACAGGCCGGTGAGCTTGAGGTAATCGCAGTCTGGGGACCACTTGTGATGTGCCCCCCCAAGGATCGTCGTGGGGTGCCCATTGTCTCAGCCGCAACCCACATTGGAAACAGCACACACCATCGGCCATCTGAGTGTAGACAAACCCCGCATGGGCCATCTCTTCAGCAGTCTGATACATTTGCGTTGGCCACGGCTCAAACGAAGCGAGCCTTCTTTCAAAGCGTAGATAATAGTACGATGGCGTTTGACTGAGCAGTGACATCGCATCCTCGGCATGACTCTTACCCCAACATCCACGAGTATCTGTACTATCCATCACCCCATTTTCGCCACGCGTCGCCGTACCACTCTTCTTTGTTTCAGCCATTCTTGATCATTTTATGTCAAATACACTGACCCACTCGAATTCACTCTTGTTTTATAGGAGCAGAACCGGATCGAAAATGGCTGCTTCCTGGTTGGTCCAAAACGCAACGCACGGATTGGTTCGTTCCGGGGCCTGGTCCGCACCTCGGTTTCTCAAAACGACCCGACCCCTGTGTTTCTTTTCCATAGGAAATGGATTTTACCATGGGAGAGAAAGCACAACTCGGCTCGGGTGCTGTCTTCTGATTGGTCGGTGCTGTCTCCTGATTGGTCGACAACCCAGGCTTCGGATTGGTCCGATTTCGATCCTGTTTTGGGGAAGGGTTGTCCACCCATCAGACGTTCAGTCCCTCTTAGAGTACAGACGTTCATCAGATACGCATCGCTATCATGACGAGCAACCCAAGTACGCCCTATCGTTTGGAGAGGCAAGACATCATCCGCTCCAGACGATTAAGAACCTCTAACCATACCTATCGTTTGACTTTCAACCCAGACTACTTGGACACCGTACCACCGGAACGCGTTCCCATGGAACTGCCAGTTTTATTTGACAGGGTCATCGATGACTTTTATGAACAGATGTCAGGCCAGAAGGGAGACCGTATTGGTCTAGGTATCGATCATCCCGCTTTGAACACTCCCATACGGATCCCCTTTCGTCGCTTTGAAGATCTCCATGGGCTCGATATTTTGCATGCCGTGGAAAAAGTCCAACAGTCCAACAAAGCCCTGAACATCGATGCCAAGATCAATCCTGTTTGGCACGGGCCCTGGTGGTGGCACAGCATTATGCCCAGAAGCCTCACCCTCTGACCCAAGAATGGAAAACCGAGCGAGTGAGACTGACGAGAACGGATCGCGTCGACGTTCAAGGCATACGGGCACGGGACTTGTTTCGACGCCTTGGCCTGCCTGAAGGCCCCTGTCAGGGCCTGAACGATCTCGCACGCGTGGGACGCGCCTTGGTCCCCCTGAATTATCAACTGAAAGTCTACAGTCAAGAGGTGGACCAGAGACTGTTGTACAAGTGTGATGAGGCTCCACCCCACGCCACCGTGTTGCATCTCTATCATCATGATCAGCACTACGATGTCATCACGTCCATGCCCGCTTTTTATGGCTCTAACCATTACTGCGAACGCTGCGACCACCGTTACGAGCATCCCGAAAAACACCCCTGCACCAAGGAATACCGCTGTCACCGCTGCCTCCACTCTACCTATTGCAAGCCCCAGGTAGAGCACGGGATCCCTTGCTTGACATGTCAACGTTGGTTCCCCAATCCATCGTGTTACACTCGACATCTCCAGTCACCGTCAAGGAAAACCCAGCGCCTGCCAATCGATTCACAGGTGCCCGACCTGTTTTCATCTGGTCCGCGTCTTGGAGACCCCCATGGTTCACCACGAGTGCTTCGACGAAGACCATCCCTGCTTGGTGTGCCGAGAACCCATGACCCCAGACCATCGCTGTTACATGACGTCTCTCCGTGAAGAAAACGAGGAGGAGGGTGAGGGGAAGGAGGGGGAGGGAGAGGAAGCGGAGGAGGAGGAGGGGGAAGAGGAACAACATCACGTACGAGACAATGTCCGATACGCCTTCTACGATTTTGAATGCATGCAAGACACGGGGGAACACATTCCAAATTTGTGCGTGGTGCAACTGGGATGTGGACGGTGCATCAGTGAAGTCAGCAAGGACTTGTGCGAACACTGTCCATGGAGAGAAGAAGGATATGGTCCCAGCCGTGAGATCGTGTTTCGAGGCCCCACCACGCGACATGATGTGTGTGTCTGGTTGACCAC